TTGTATGTAAAGTCCTTTTGATTGCATTGTTGAAAGGTGCTATAAAAATAACCTCACCTTCCATTGCCCAGGCTTCAAATTAAGTGTGAGTTGTATTTTTTGCTTTTTTGCCCCACCGTCAGGTTTTGTCCTATTTCACTTTTGCCTGTCGTGTAACTTAGGACACGTTTCACCAAATTTACAACTTTCGATCTGTGATTTGCAACATTTTTTTTTCTTTTTACTAATTTTGCACCTTTTACTAATCAAGACAAACATCACACTTGACACGTGACCCACACATGAGCATGTGAGAGACCGGTGGGACTTGCAAATCTATCTCAGAATTACAAGCAATTATTTATGAAGTTTATGAGGTTGCAATAGTTTGCAATTTGTAAGCTTGCAGGTCACTTTTATGAAAAAGGCCCCTGGTTCTTTTGAAGCATTCTCAGATCATTTTTGTATGTTCTCTCCAATTCTGTCTCTCTCCACCTAGCAACCACATCAAGGTAAAAAATATTTTTCAAAAAGCTTTGTGTTCCTAAAAAGGCCAACTGACCTTGTGGCGGTGGATTATTATCAAATGTTACCAAACAGAATAGCTGAAGTGAGGGTCTTTGTATTAACAAGGCCAAACAATGTCACAGATGTGAAGCACCCTACAAAGAAGCCAGTAAATGATGGTGGCACATGGTGTCACCTGTAGAAATGGCAATGCTTCTTACCAGCCATAGATATATGGGTGGGTGGGTGGGACATATGAGTGAGTGCATGAATGAGTGGAATGAACTTGAAAATACAAATACAAAAGCAGCATTTTATCTTGATTGAGTTCAGTTAATGTGTGTCAGTTTGTTTATTTACTTTTTCTTCATCAGAATCTCGGGAATGGTGTCAGGAATCTCAACACATTTAAACAGGGCAATTTGATTTGCAATATTTAATACGGCACTTTAAGGCTAAGGCAGAAACTGGTGCATTGTAGAGCACTTTTTGATGTAACAAATAGGATCTAATGGGTGAGTAATTGGATGGCAATTTGGAGTAACAGCACTATCCAGTCAATCTCCCTCATTATGCTCCATAAATAATGGGGTGCACCCACACATTCGACATCAAGCTAAGGTGATCTCCTGCAAAAGCAGCAAATTGGCTGTTGTTAGCAGTCAATGGCTGTATTTTGACACTCCTGTGTGCCTCAAGGACTCATTGATTACTTGATAGCTGCTGCACAGCAGAGTTGCTAGGCCTCCCATTTAGCCTGGTCATTGCACCAAAAATACAACCTTTAAGTCTTAGATGACTGGGACCTCACTGATGAAGCTGGATTCAAACACATTAGAGGTGTATCACTGATTCCTCAAAACGGTTACTCACTCTACTGTCTGCCGGGACCAGAACTGCATACTAATATGTATGGTAAAGAACAGGTAAATGAGAGATGATGAATGGCTGTGTTGGGTCTTGTTCAATTACGTTACGTGGATAAAACCATTTGTAACCAGTCTCAACTTGTTGACTGTACTAAAGATTTACCATTTTACTATTATTAAATGAAAAATGAACCAACTAAGTGTTAACTTCAAAATGTATGGCAGCACCATGTGCTTAATAGAGACATAGATTGTTTTTTTTATTGGCCAGCTTCCAAATGCAAACCCATTCACCTCGTCTCTCTCCACTGCCCTCTGCCATGCTAAAAGCCCACCCTCCGCCTACCCTTCATTTTCTTTCTTTGGCCGTCCTCCTGCCTCTCTAAGTGCCTCTTATTTGTCCTTCATCACCGAACATTTCAGGCCTCAAAATCTTTTACAACTTTTTTTTTCTCAGACAATCTCTCTGTTCATACCAACTAAGTCTCCCCCCCTTCATCCCCTTGATTCCTCTCCTCCCCTTTTTAAACCTCTCTCACCGTCTCATTCGCAGTCGAATCACGCATGAATGCGGCATGGTTGTGCCAATGCCAGCTCTTTGCCAATCTGCCTGGGTGTGTTTGTTTGCCAATGCGAGTCTGGTGGGAAGTCCCTGCACTGGAGGCCGAGGTGGCAGATAAGCCCGAACCCCGGCTGGTGTCGGTTCAGGTGAAGCTTTGTGAGGATTACAGTTCACCCTCTTGAGAGAGCAAAGCAAAGTATATATCTAGGTACCAAAATCACCAAAATGTTAATGAACTTGAAATTTGTAGAAAACTGGTTGTGCTACCAGCGCATCAGAATCCCAAAGATATAAATTTATATATACATGTATAGTCATGTCATGACTACTACTACCATGACCTCATGAAAACGTGAGGCTTAAGTCAAACATTAGTTAGTAAGTTAGTAAGTAGTTAAATCAGTATTAGCAATTGTACTTTCTCATAATTTATAACAACATTCGATTAGTGTCCAAACTATTTGACGATAAACAATTTGGCCCATGAGCAACATAACAACTCTCAAATTTAATTTATCAGAAATTTATCAGAAAGTTTGTTAATTTAATTTAAATTGTTATCACATCCAATAATGACTCTGGGGATATGGATAATCATGTACATGATCATCACGTACTGTTGCCTAACAACAGCTGAAACAATACTGAGTGACAACATATTCTTTCTCAGTCATCATTGCTAAAATAATTAGTTGTATTTTGAGGAATTATCCACTGCATACGTTTCAGATTTTGTTTGAAAACTGTCAGCAGGTACTTATCCATTATGAACAACAAAATCTCTGCTCCTTTGATAAGAAGGATTTTGGTTAAGGAAAGGCACGCAATTTATAATAAGCATATTCAAGAAAGAAGTGAACACTTAAAATCAGAAATTTTGTTTCCTCATTTCACCTAAACTAGACGTAAAATTTATGGCCATGACTTCTAAGATGCAATCAATTACGAAATTTTGAGAACTGGTGACGTGACAACAGGAAATATTCTGTTCTGAAATCTTCAAAAATATGTATAAAATACATGAAATTTGTCAACAACAGTGAAGGGTCAGAGAGGAAAGGAAGGAAAAGAAGACCTTGTGGTGTTTTACATGAAAAACACGACAAAAAAGAAAAAACAAAATTGAGTGATTGACTAACAGGAGAAATATTTAATCAGAGAAAATTACTTAAAGCAAGCACAGAGCTGCCATTTCTGTCAATTAAAAAAAAAAAACATTATTAAAAAAATACCTAGAACAGTTAGGCTCTGCTGTCAAAGATAGAACAAAGATTTCAGGTGGCTTTCAACCACTCATAAAAAAAAAAACATTATTAAAAAAATACCTAGAACAGTTAGGCTCTGCTGTCAAAGATAGAACAAAGATTTCAGGTGGCTTTCAACCACTCATCGTCTTTGAGAAGTGACGCACAAAGAGTACCACCCAAAAAATGTAGGGGCACAGAGGAGCGAAATCTGCCCAGTGACAGCAAATAAACTGTTAACCACAGCTATGAATCGTCTGGCAAGTGCCACCTCAACAGGAATGCAGGCCTCAGACAGTGGTTCTCAAACTCAGGGCCAAGGACCGCTGATGGTCCAGTTGATTTTATAGAGGGGCACAACCTGTTTAGGTGAACATAACTGTTTTAGATAGGATAGGATAAGATAATTACAAAAAATTGAATGAAAATTGCAGTAAAACAGAATAAAACTAGGATGAGTGACTATGTGACAAGAAAAAATGAGTATGTGGATAGGCAAACAAACAGACACATACACAGATAATTTCCTAAATGAAATATTCTCAGAAAACGTGTAAAAAATTTACATTTAACTTTACTAATGCCTACAACAGAATGGATCAGTACTTTCACAGTAATATCGTTTAAAAAAGAAGTCATTTAGAGACTGAGAAAGAAGATTACACTTCTCCTCTGTCCCCTCCAAAACTGGATCTGACCCTGTGTCGCGAGGACTCGGACCTGAGATCCCCACTGATGCTAATGCACCTCTTCAGTCAGATGACAGCTTGGTGCAGGGACAGGATAAGTATCTGCTACTCACAAACCATAAATTATTAGCTCTCTCAGGATAGAATGAGACTCTGTAGTGCAATTTCTCCCAACCCCCCCACCCCCCACCCTCCTTGTACCTTATTTACAAAGGCAGAAAATGTTACCATGGGAACACACTACTAGGCAACCTCAGTGGCTTGGCATGATGCCCAATGGTTGCTAGGGCACTGTTGTCAATGGCTATTGGGTTGTGTGGGCCAGTATGTGTGTGTGTGTGCATGTCCTGCATATATGTGTGTGGTGTTGTGTGTGAGTAGGAGAGGCACTGTGTCCATGTTGGTGTATGTGTGTTCACAAATGTGTACAATGCACACACCACTTCACAGCTTGAAAAAAATGTAAATGAACAATTTAATGTTCTTGTTTCATAATGAGGGCTTTATATGCATCCAATATGTCATTATTTTAAATAATATGTACCTTTTTGAATTGGTTTACTTATTGCTTGTTTGACTCTGTGGGTGACAAATGGTGGGAGGCAGCTTTTGTTGGCTAATATACTCTAACCTTTTTTTCTTGGTAAAGTGTGTGTGTTTGTCTAAGAGAAAGAAGGGACAGAGAATAATCTAGCAAGCAGTTATGTTAGGTCCCATATGCAATTATTTTGAATAACATGCATGATGGCTCTGAGCTTTAGTCTTTTTTCAAAAGGTCTTATTGTGTGATAGCTAATAGTTGAGAAGTAGTCTGGTTATAGTGGCGGCAATATAACAATTTTGCTTCATTACACACCGTCAGTAAGAACAAACTTGTTTTTTATGATGAGAATAAGAATAAAAGAGACAAGAGGAGACAGAAAGAGGCAGCCAGAGAAGAAAAAAGAACCCGAGAGACATAAAAATGCTAGTGACTCTCTGTATACTTGGAGCTGACGTTCTCCATCACTAGCTCTGATCTCTCAAGCTGTTTGCTCTCTCTTTCATTTCAGTAAGATTCAAAGAGTCTTTGTTGGTATAAACGGGAAGAAACAGATGTTGCCAAAGCATTTACCTCACAACCAGGATCTAGTTTGAGGTTTTTCCCATGGCTCTCTTCACACTGGGGAGCTTCTGTGGTTGACCACGGCATTCCTGAAATCAGCAGAGCATCATGCAGATTATCAGCATACCACAGGATAGGAAGGGGAACATCAATAAACACATTGAGCCATGAAGTTGGGATAAGTAAATAAATAATGTCAGCCACCCAGACAAGACCCTATCTGGGCTTTTATCCAGGCCACATAGCCTTGTAATGCTGTTTGCAGCAAAAATCATCCCAGACTCGATCATGAAAGAATACTACAAGACAATTAAATCATAATAAACCAATCCCTGATTAGAGATGAAGCACTTTGCAGCACAAAGAAATGAATGGAAGCACATGCATTTATGACAGAGGATGTATCAAACATAGTGTGCAGAGTATGAAATGGATTAACAAAGTGGGACATAATGGTGAGAATGAATACTGTGCCATCAACAAAGCATGAATGGGAGAGTGGTACAAAAATACATGTACAGCAGAGACAGTTAAAGACAATGGTGATGAATAATACATTAATAATGTTGGAAAATACAATCAGACATTATAAATTAAACAGCAGTGAGGCAAACAAATGCAATAATCATGACACTGCAACACAATGAAAGACAACAAAGATGGCAATGTTCTGCTTTTGTGTTAGTGTGCGCTCATTAATTCCCACATGTGTACGTATATATGGGTCTGTGTGTTCCTGTCTGCATGCACTTAGGGAGGGCGAATATTGCCTGCGGTGTATCTTATCTAATATTACCGAGAGGAAGCACAGCCTCTCCCCCTTGTCTCCCCCCACCCGGCCCTTTGAACTCAAGCCGCTGCTGGAGATGCATTCTGACTGAGCACAGCATGTCCTGAAAGGAGGTCAGAGGGCAGGACAAACAGTCTGGTGTCATGGCAACTTGATGCCACCAACCAAAAGTTTAGAGTGGCTGGTGGGGCCGCAGGAAAGGTTGGTCAACCTGTCACAGCTTATTAAAGACAGAGAGGTGCCACTCAAAATGCTCAATTTAACACTGAGTCTTTAAGGATAAACATATATTTTTGTATCAAAAGCTCCTATGGAAAGACCACAACCAACTAATGACTAATGATTTTCTTCCTGTGTAGAGCTCCATTGTTGTCCAAAAACTATTCAAAACACATCAATGGGCCCCACCATTGAACTGGATGACATGTTCCTTCATTACCATGAACATGACCTCTGTAGCTAAATTTGAGTCGACCCCACATACAACGTCATGGTGACATAAATACTCACTAGCACATATTAATCTGCAGCTGAATATAGTAAATGCACTATTTACTCGTCCGTGAGTAACATTAGCTAAACTCTACATTGTCCAACTGTTTTTTTGTTTTGTTTTTTAAATCGAAGTATACATTTGTGACCCATTGTTATAGATTTATGACTTTAGAAGGAACCAACACACTTCGGGCCTCTAGCCAGAGACAGGAAAGGGTAAGGAAGCAGAAAAGTATTGAGAGAGAGACTAATTCAAATATAGCCTCTTTTTGAATTCAACCAATCTGGCAATGCACCAGAGGTGGTAACACAGGGTGCTCGTGGTTTTGGCTTTATTAATGGATCATTTGCTCTATGAAACATTCAAAAAAGTTAAAAAAGTCCAATCTAGTTTCCTAAAGATGACCGTCCAACCCAAATTCTTCAATTTACTAGAAACGACCAATTGATTATCAAAACAGACAGCAATTAATTTCCTCTCAATCAACTTATCACTTAATTCACTAATTGTACTACTCATCCAACAAAAAAGTTGAACCTGGCTCAGCTTTTCACAGACCACAGCACAACATCATCCTGCAAAACACAAATCACATAAATGCAGGTGCAATTTCTTGGTAGAGTATTTTGTAATGTGAATGAAGTCACAAGTCACAACAAGAGATATAATAATTGCTGCCATGACATACTGCCATTGTGTGTGTCATGAGTATTAAAAACCAGCATTTTGGAATTTGACAAACCTTCAAATTCATAGACTGGACTTCAGTACCTGAAGCAACATACAAGGCAGGGCTACTTTCAGTCTCAACACCCACTAACACGCTGCTGATTTTTGCTTTTATATGGGATTTGTCGACAATAAAATATATATATATAATTATATGGGCAAACAAACATGTTTATATGTTTTATTTCTGTGTAATTTTGATTTTTTTTTTTAGGTTTTTGCTCTGAACCTTCAATAAAACATATCCTATTCTTAAATTCCTCTGTATTGCTAACAATACAGCCAATGCAACATTGCGTAGCCTTAAACTTGACTGACTTATTTTTGGTAATCAGAAGACTAAATACAAAATTACTACCACAAATTACACCTTGGCTCACATACCTGTGAATATTCGGCACCAAACTGAATTCCTCTAATTTGTTGCACTAATTATTCTGAGTACAATTCAGCAAACCTGAGAAATGAACTGCAGCTGTAATTGTGTTGCCTATCGGTGCCAGTCCTGGACTGCCTGTGTTTTCATCTCTCTCCTGAGGTGTTGGATCAATACGAAATCCAGGTTCCTTTGTATGTCATTAGCTTGTTTGATGCTTGAGCTGAGACCCCTCCAAACCTTTGTGTTCTCAGCCGCTGAAAACTCTCACATGAAGAATGTGTGATTGCAGGTGTGTCTGTCGGCAATGTATGGGTGTGCATACTGACCTTCAAAGCAGCTTACGTACAACAGTCTTGTAAATGGGTGTTTTCTCTCTCTACAAGTGCGTGCATGAGGCTTGTGTGCACATGGTGTGTGTCCTTGTGTTTGTTCAATGCGGCAGAGGGTGGAGTGGCAGATCAATAAGAAACAAATGAATTCAGATCAATATGAAGCCAGGGAGTGAAGGAGAGAGAAGGAGAGATTGAAAGCGAGTGAGTGGGGTGATGCGCCAGAGAGGAGGAGGAGGAGGGGGTGGGGTGGTGTTGGTGGGTTGGAGGGGTGATGTGTTACCAGCAGCTCAGCGACTAACTGCACACTTGGGAGAGACCACTCATTTCTACAGCCAAAACCTCGGTGCTTTGAGGTCACTGACGGTTAAAATGGATGGTTAAGCGAGTTAGAGAGAAAACAGAAAGAGACATGAGAGCAGCAGTGCACTGGAGAAAAACCCAGCATTCCTGCATCGCTGGTGGTGATCGGTTTTAATGGAATGTATCAGTGAAATGAAGCTGCATAGTGCTTCTATTTCTCCATTAAGAAAACTAAGTCACACATTTGCCCTCTCTTTGTTGTATTTTATTTTTCACAGAAAGATGCTCTAAAAAGTAAAAATGATGTGTAAATAAAATAATTAACCGCTGTGTATTAACATTTTAACTAGAATTTCCTTTTTTTCAATCCACTGTTTCAATAAAGCATCGTACTTCTGATGCTTTACGGAGTAGTGAATAGTAATCAATCACCAGTGTTTTTCCAATATTAGAGTAATTTGGTATTCCCTTTTTGAAACTGCATATTTTTTTGTCAAAGACCAATCTGGTGATGACTGAGGTGAGAGGGTCATGGCTGTAAATAAACAAATCTTGATCTCAGATCTCAGAGCAACATCATCTGCCACTGTCTGCACACAGCAGCTGTAGTCAAAGTGAACTTTGACCCCTTTACTTCTATTCTGCACCTAAATAACACATTCCCTTCTTGCCTAGCATGGTAAGATTAGAAATCTCAGGCTAGAGAGGATTTAATTGTGACCTTTCAACTTAAACTCCCAGTTGGAGCTTGACATTTGAAGCCAAACCTATAAGGACCTAATGCATTCAGATTGGAAAGAAGTCTAGACTTCTCCCATCCAATTCTTCATTGTCTTACTGGAAGGTTTGGAGAGTACTATGATTTAACACTTGGCTTGAAACACAATTTACACTATTAACAAATGTTCTTTATCAATGTTAATAGGGTGACAATATACAGTTTTTTTTTTAATGTCGATTAAAATTTTTGTCTGTCTAAGATGACGTCTTCATTTTTTATTTATCCATCTATTTTTGAATTGCAGCAGTATTGATAACATCTTCCCGGTCTATTATGAGTATCATCAAGTATTTGTGTTGTTGTTTGTAGATTAACGTATAAATTGTTCAGTACATTTACTGTATATTCTATTGTTCATTATCTCAGTTACATTTTTCTTTTTGGTGAGACAGTATGGCATACCAGAGCAGAGATTTCCACCTATCTTGTAAAATATTTGATTCTTTTGCTTCGTAGTATCGCCATGAAATTGCAAACAGGATTGCTTGGCTTTGTGTATCTGCTCATCTCTCGGCTGTGAGATCAAAGCATCAAGAGCCATTTGGGAGTCAGAACTGAATGAGACTTTGAAGTGATTGTGGCAAAAACAAACACATGGCTGCTGAGTGCTTGCGAACGGGCACTCTTCATTTCCAGCTCAAGGTTCCTCGGCTCTTGAGATGGATTTCAATGATTAATGTCTCAGTTAGCTTTGAATGCGGCATCTGATGCCTTAGAAAATATTCTGTATGGTGTAAGTGATATTGTTTAATTCAAGAGGATACCTACATTAACCTGAATACTAGCACTACTAACCTTCTATAGCCATATAATGTGGATTTTGAGTTCAACCATGAAAGTGTAAAAATTTCTCTCACTTTATATGCAAAGTATTGGCTCTTGTATCATATTGTTTTAGATTATACATTCTATTATCCCTCAGTGAGTCTCAGCGATACATAGATGCTACTACTTCTTCATATGAATCGTCATAAGTTTCATATTTAGTAGCACAGAATGGTCCCAGTGGAGCAAAGGAGGGGCTGGTTAAGAGGACTTGCAGCCAGTGACAGCTGCCCTCTGAGTCATTCTATCAGACTTGTGCAGAGAATAATGTCTGAAACAGTGACATCAGCAGTCCTTTAACTACATCACTGTTGCTCACCCTTGTTGAACTCACACTATCATTTTTTATCATTTTCACCTTTGGAAAGTTTGAACAGTGAGTGAAGTTGAGAGACAGTGACCATGGATACAAACGAGATAAAGAGAGAGGCAGAGAAAGACACAGATGCTGCAGATAAAAGTGTGTTCTGCGTACAAAAAGGGCCAATAAAGTGAGTAAGACACATCCTATTATCTAGATTTCTATTAATCAGTCCAATTACAATAACATCAAAATGTGAGAAACAGCAAAACATCATTAGATGACTTTAACAATTAACTGACTATCAAAGTTGATGTTGTTTAATTTTCTTACAAACCACATATCAATGTTTCCCTTATCTTTTTCTTAAGTGATAGAGGAAGCAAAACCTACAGAGAGAGCTGCAGACGGACAGAGAGCGAGACAGTGAGAGATACTTGAGGCAGTGATGTAGAACATCAACTCCAACCAGACAGTCTGCTAAAAAAAAAAAAAAAAAAGCATGGAGAGGCAAACATCGGCATGTCTCTCAGCTTTTCCTCTTCTCTCTCCTCTTTAATCTGACAGCCTCCCCCCTCTCTATCTGTCTCTCCGTCTCTCTCTCTCTCTCTCTGTCCCCCTGAGCTGTGTTCTGTGTGTTCCATCCCCGCCTCTCTCCATCTCCCTGCCTCTAATGTGCTTTGGCGTGTGTTACCCACGGGTGCTTGCGCGCTGCTGCCGCCATCCTAAAGCCGGGTCAGGGGGGCAGCTGAAGCGGCGCGATGCTGTCTGTGACATCATCAGTCACTGTTATTACTCACGTCTCACCTCCCTTCACTGTCTGAAACTGTCAGGGCTTTAGGTGCTTGGTGGCAGGCCGACGAACACACAAACGCAAACAAACAAACAAACACAGATTGACACCCATGTTGTCAGAGCTAAATGAAATATTATTTGAAGAGCTATAATTCTGAATCCCATTTGGAGATTTTGTTACCTAAAATAGTTCAGTCTCACACAGTTATGAAATCATTTTAGTCTGGTTTCCAAAATGTTGAGTATCTTTTTCAAGGCATTAATCTCTACATATAATAATTCTGATGACTAGTTAGACAGTACAATAAATAATTTGACATCACAGAACAGTAACTACACACTATAGTCACATCACAGTACTGTATGTAAAATGATTTTTATATACATACGCATAAATATTTGGGCTGCAACTAACCATTATTTCAATTACTGATTAATCTGTCCATTTTATTTTCAAGTATCCATTAACTGATTAGCCAATTAAATATTGGAAAACTGCGAAAATGCCCATTGCATGTTCCCTAAGCCCAAGTTGCTGTCTTCACGTTTTGTTTTGTCCAACTAACAGTCTAACACCCGAAGATATTTTTTTTATTATTATAAAAGACAAAGAAATATTAACATTTAAAAAGCTGAAGCCAGTGAAATTTTTCAGTATTGCTTAAAAATAAAATGATTCATAAATCATCAAAACAGTTGTGGTTTGATCTTCTGTTGATCTAGTATTCAATCAACTAATCGTTTCAGCTCTAAATGTAATGTGGTTCTATACAAGCTATCACTTGGTTGCAGTAGGGGACAGTTTCTGAAATGTTGAATATATTTTCAATGGAATTAAACTCTTCACTTAATAATTCAGTTGGTTAGTTTTAACCTAAAATGACTGCAAGATGGGCATGACAGCACAGTCAATAATTCAACATGACATAATGGTATGGTCAAACAGTAAAATATGAGTTGTACATGTACAAAATGTCTTCTTTCCCAGAGGACAGGTTGACATCTTCAAATGTCTTGTTTTGTTCAACAAACAGTACAAATTGACTCATTCAATTTACAGTCATTTAGAACAAAGGAATAGCAACAAATCCTCAACACCTGAGAAACTAAAACCAGACAATGTTTAGCACATTTGCTTGATAATTAATTCAATCAATTAATCAATTAACCAAACCAAAGTTGGCGATAATTTTGTTTTGACTGATGACTCAAACAGTTGACAAATTGTTACATCCCATGCTTTGATACAAGCAATGACTTTGTTATAGTGGATGTCAATTTCTGAAATGGTGAATACCTTTTATGGAATTCAGATGGTTTTGACCTAAATGGGCTACAAGATGGGCATGATGGAACAATCAATAATTTAACATGTTATATAGGCTATAATTCAGAAAGGAAAAGAGAGTAATGCAGATGGTGTAGTCTTTTGTCAATAACGTGCAAAAATGTGCTAAAATGACTTAATTCTGTTTTTTAAATTTCTCACAGTCCTATTATGGAAAACCATGAACATCTGTCACTGAACTAAAGTGACAACACAAGTAATTCACACGTGTGGATGTAGTGTAAAAAGAACATGAGAATGTCCAGATGAGCCTCTGCATGAGCTATAAAGCTGTGCATACTCTATATCTGTGTAAAAAAAAGAAATGTGCTTCCATTCAGTGAGCATGTGTGCAAGGTTCAGACCGTGTCAAATCACCACGTCTGCCATCAGCGGAAACACTCCTGTACCTGGGGGTCTGTCTGTCACCCCCGCTGTCAGCCAATGAAGAGGTGAGACTCTGCAAACTCCTTCACTCAGGAATACTGATAGCTGGCATGAAAGCCCTCGGCCTGTGTGTGGGAACACACCATATAAATCATACATGACCAGCACCACCAGGCACCATATGCATGCTAACAGCACTGCATTAATAACAAGCATGCCAGTATCATATTTACGAGCATACAGAGAATGTAAATCTCTGCGTCTTCTTTTGTCTCACTCCCCTGCACTCCCGACATGTCCTCTTGAAAGCACCTGCAGCACTGAACTCAATGTGCCACAGAAAAAGAGTGAGACAGAAAGGGAGAGACAGACTTAATACAAAAAAAGATTGGAGGGTGAAGGGTTGGCGAATGGATAAACCAGACAGCAATGACAGGATAATGACGTTTGGAGTATAAATACCTAAAGGCATGAATATTTGAAGATGAAAAACACCAGCAAAAAGTGCATGGGGACAAATAAAAGACAGAAGGAAGAGTGAGAAAAAATATGAGGCAAAATAGAACAGCAAAATAGATGGCGTGACTGAAAGACAGACAGACAGATTAACTAAAAGAGACACACATGAGACAGACAGAGACAGACAAAGAGCGAGCAGGAAGAACAAAAGATGAAATGATGAAACGCAAAAGAAAGGAAGGGGAGAGAGAAGGACAGACTTGGAGCCAGACAGAGAGAGAAAGAGGGGAGCGAGAGACAGATAGGCAGGCAGAATTAGAAAAAGACAGAGGAGGGCAATGAGACAGAGGCGCAGGGCGGCAGTGCGCATGCGGAAATAGGTGGCAGACTCTTGTCAGTGCAGTGACCTAGTCGCGCAGGACTGAGGAATTCTCCCTGTCGACCCGGACACATTCCTCCGGTCCTCAGACGTTAACCCATGCCACACCACCATACTGTACTGCAGTAGCTTACATGGCTTCTCTGTCACTGACCCAAGAGATATATCTATCTCGGACAGACACATGCTGTCGACATTACGCAGTTTTTAAAGCAGAGTTAACTTCAAATTAAAACTGAGCAAACACCTTCGACAAGAATTAAAATATCGGGTAGAGTGCACAGCTCAACCAGCTCTGAATCAACGTTCTGTGCCGCCTGCAGAGAATGTGTGTATGCACAGGGCCCTGCAAAAACACATTGTGAAAATATCAGGGCAAGAAGGGCTCTATTGTGTCGTGGAGGCAGAATGTAGCTCTTATTCTCCTGCTGCTGGACCGGGGGCATGGGGGTGACATCAGCACAAAGACAAAAATGTAATGTGAGGCATCTCCAAAGCTAGCTTCAAGGCTAGACCACAGGCCGCTCTTTATACCCGCACTCTCTCACTTTTCAGCAACATCTGATAATCGGGATGTGACCAACAGATGACCTTTCACTCGTTGCTTACTAAGATAAGTCACAGCCAACAGTGTTACACCAAACTGACTCAAATAGGTGTCCTAGCAAAATGAAAGCTTGTCTGCTTGCTGCTTTCACATTGGCCAGCGGTTAGCACATATCTCTGAGGTTAATCACGACAGAATGACTCAGGGAAGAGTAATTCAATTATTCTGATGGTGTATTGGCGTTTCGATCAGGCCACAGACTAAAATGGCTGACCAAGTGTTCCTGACTGCTGAGTGCCATTAAGCAAAAACCTGGTCAGTAAAGCACTTGATTTTACACAAATTTATACATACACTCTCAATACATACACACTCAATCTATCTAAGAAGAAATAGAATAAAAAAATAAAAAGTAAAGCAACTGCTGCTTATTCTGGACCTTTTTTTGAATTAAATAAATGAACAGAAAATATTTCCTTACCTGATGAAAATCACCATCATCTACGATGAAAAGGTTCTGGTTCTCTTCGAGGCTCAATCTGAAAAACAGACATACATTATTTGGATTATCATTACATTGAGAATTGTAGGTATTCTCTAGAATATGATATTTGATACTATTTATGAACTGATTCTGGATTACGTGTCTTTTATTCGTGTGTTAAACCTCCCTGGATCCAACCCAATTCTTAATTTCAATTCATACCCTTACTGCATATTTAACCATATGATCAATTCAATAGAATAATTAAAAATTATTATAAACATATAATGGTATCAGATAGAATGTACATTTGAATTTGTTTTATTTGATTCTACATCTACTATTATTTTAAGATCTTTTCGATTCTTCATTGAATACAACACTCTTGCAGGCATTTGTACTATTTGTGTTTCACACCCGGCCTGTTAGGCTGTTGTACTCGCCAGTTTGTCGGTTTCCAGCAAATTCAGCTGCACAAATTCAAACCTGCTATACACAATAGCAGCTTGCATGGGAATTCCTGAGGTCTGTTCGATCCATTAATGTATGCTGCGGTTGAATGTCATCAATTATGAATGAGAAACACACAAGATTCACAGAGAGCTGGTACAGAAACATGGGAACAGTACTGGATTGTAGAAGCTTGAATATCTTTAACATAATGTGTGAAGACTGGGCCATGCAGTCAGATGTAAGCTAGTTTAGTGTGAAGCAGAAGATGAAGCAGAACAATCATTACACTAGAGGCTGAATTCAATCAGGGATAAGCAAATGATTTTAAGATAATTGAGGACATAAGAGCTCAACTTAAACAGAAGCAGAAGGGTACATACAATGACAGGGACAAAAAGCCTGCAATCTGCTATAGGTGAGGATATTCTACTTCCTCAACCTTTAGGTGTCAGGCACTTAAGACCATATGTGTGGATACTGCAGTGGGGGCCTCTTCCCCTTTAAGGCCCAGGTATTCAGGAGTGTGTTGACCCTGCCAGTGAGTTCATACCATAAGCAGACCCATATAGCCTCTCCTCCAGAGCCCCTGATCACGAGCCTGCTGAGCTGCCGCCTCAGTTATGTAAGATTACATAACACCAGGTCTGTCTGAGTAATATTTCATAACCTGGGGGTCTGACTACACTGGCATTACCATCAAATCCCCTTAGGAGTGAAATCAAAGGTGCTAGGCAGGTCTGGCAAAGTAAAAGTCAAATTTGAAAACAAATAAGAGCAAGTTGTGGGCACTAAGGGGACTTGCCTGTCCTAACCTTTTCTCTGTCTTTAGCTGTCAAGCGCAGACGTTTGGTTCAGGAAAAAATTTGACATCATCGACTTTTCTCTTCATTTTCTTGAGAGCTAAAGTGGAGGTCACGGAAAGGTCAAGCCAGGGACGCTACTAAACAAAAGCATCCTCCCCCCTTGGCTTATCACAGAATGCAGTGATGCTGTCTGCCCATAAATGTCATATCATTGTGTATTAATCAAATCATTGCATATGAACTCATCTAGCACACGCTTAAGACACTGAACATTATTGAAGAAGTAGGCCAGTAACTGTTATCTAACGGCATCGGCTATACAATTGGCTTCTGTCTTATTTATATCAACAGAACTTTTTTTTTTTTTTTTTTTTAAATCTGCACTGTTTTTAATCAAAACTTTTTAGAAGACCACATCCTCGCATAAATTCAGTGATCTGACCTCATTCGCAAACAGATAATAATAAGAGATTTTAAACCAGACAAAAATTCCAAAAACAAGCAGAATCAAAAGGGGTTTCAGAGCTTATCGTTTACACATTCACAACCATAAAGAACACTGACGGCGGAGGAAGACACACATGTGTGCACTTCCCTCGGAACGATACCAGTGAACAATCTCGGAAATAGATAACAACTGTGGCAAGTGATAGAGAAAATGTGGGTAGAGATAACAGGATGCTATATAAATAAAAAACAGAAAAGGCAGATATAAAACAAAGGATAGGAAAAAAGGGAAAGGAAAGAGATGCCAAGAGATATCTGAGGCTGATACCACGGGAGAAAAGGTACTCGATGGAGGTTACAGCAGATGGACTGCAAATGGACGATAGCAGGCTTGCGCTATATATCGCATGCCTCTGTCTACTCCCTAGCGTTATGTCTACTGTACTAAGAGTACAATAATGCATTCATGTAATCTCTTACTGTCGACATCTTCACATCACGGATTTGCACCAAAGCCTCCATCTTTACCTAACTTCACCACATCAGACAAAAGTAATCTCTGCCAAATGCGAAGGTTGTAAAAATGAAAAACTTGTTGAAACTGACTCCAGTTTTTTATTTAGCTTACATTCTCGAATAAATCCACCCTTATCTTTTGTTGACACCGAATCACATCTTGGACAGCGGGTTTTGTCTTTACAGGCGGACCAACACATAAACTGGGGATACCCGGATGAATGGATGGAAGATGGGATAGAAAAAGGGGGAAAGCATGGGAGGAGTAAAAAATCTAATGAGTAGAAGAAGAAAACCCGCAGTACTTACAGTGTTTTCACCTCTTCATTTCGCCTCATTTTGACACTTCACCTTTAATTTCTGTGTATTTTATAACTAACACCATCGCACACTCATTCCCTGAATATGAAACATGAAACGTGATTGTGCAAATCCACGCATGCGTAAGCAGGAGTGACCGTCTGCTGCTGCTGGCTCCTTTAACTCTAAATCACACCCCAACATACTAACACACACATGCACAGACACACAGATACACATGACTAATACAGATAGATACACACACAAATGCACACACCCTGCCTCCTTCATGTGCTACCCTCCCATACTTGGGCCCCCTAAAACTGTGTGCACTCAGTGATCCCTTTCCAAAGCCCTCATCTAAATGTGAGCAGAGGTAATCCTTCAAGGAGAGGCAAAGAGAACAGCGATAACCCATGATAAAGAGGAGCTGAAGGAGGAAAGAGAGAGACAGTGAAAGAGGGAGAGAGGTGGAGCGCGAGATGGGATAGACGAACAGGATGGGGGGATTAGCAACCTAGGGAACACGTTTTTCAAACAAGAAAAAAAAAGACGAGAGTTGAAAAATGAAGCAAAGGCAAGGCGGGGGAGAGGAGAAGGCTTTAAAGAAAAAAGGAAAGGCAGAGAGGATGCATGTATGAGAAAGGAAAAGGACATGTACACACAGTATACTCACAGATGAGTGAGAGGGTGACCGGAGAAGTGATGAAAAATCATGTCAAAAAATAAAAATGAGAGGCGACCATAGACGGCGAGTCTGAGTTTGGTGAGAAGTCCTGTTTCTTCTCATTCTGGAGTTTTGTTTTTTCTCCTTTTTCCCGCGATTTTGCCAATTCCTATCCAGCCGTCCCTCCTTCCTAAGTCTATCCCCTACTGGTCCCCCTTCTCCTCTCTTCCCCCTCCCGTTTTTCTTGCCAGTGCCGGTACTCTTTCTCCTCTCTCTCTCTCTCTCCCTCTCTCTCTCTCTCTCTGTGTCTTTCTCACTTTCTTCCGCAGACCATGCTCTCCATTTTCCCCTCATTCTTTGCCTCTGTCCCCTTCATCTGTCCATTCATCGGACACTCTTTTCTCTTTCTTCAACCCTCAGCTCCCGCTTCACAATACAGATGAGATAAAAAAAAAATTTTAAAAAAAGGTTTCTAAACAGAAGTCGAGTTTTGAGTTGAAAAACAAAAAATACTGCAGATGAGAAAAAACTGTTTACAGGAAAGGACAAGAGGTTTGTGGCATGCAGTCTAACGCAGAGACAATCCACGGCCTGCGTTTTTCTGGGGCGCCACGCATAGTAGGGGTGAAGCGTCTGTGTCGCGTTGCCTCCATACATGAGGGCATAACCAAAAGCAAAGAATGGCAAGCAAAAGAAAAAAGAGGAAAAAACCGAGCTTGTTGCAGTCGGTCTCCAGTGAAAGTGGATAGTAAGCGCGCGTGAGAGGAAGGAGTAGGAAGGAGTCCGGGGTGTGTGCATGTGAGGTGGGAGGGGAGAGAAAGGAAAGCCAGCGAGAAGAGAGAGAGAGGGAGAGAGAGAGAAAGAGAGAGACCGGGGGGTTCATGGAGAAATATCCAAGAGGGAGGGATAGAGGAGGAGTGTGTCGGTGGGGAGAGGAAAGAGGAGGGGGCAGGAATAGGAATACATTTTTTTTCCTTTACGCTCACGGTATTCGAATTTTGGGCTTTTCATTTTTTCACACCCCCATTCCTCTGCTAATACCTTCTCTTTCTGTGAGAAGAAAATAGAGAGGAAGAAAGAAGAGGAGAAAGAGCTACTGTGTGCTTTGTCTCCCGCCCCTGCCGTTCCTTTTCCTGGTTTCCTTTCTGCTCCGACTCTCCTCTATTCAGCCTATTTTCTGCACGTGCACTTGAACTCTAAATCCTGTCTGCTTTCCCCTCCCCTCTCTCTCTCTCTCTCTCTCTCTCTCTCTCTCTCTCTCTCTCCTAGGCAGAGGCTTGAAATAGTGCTAGCAGGCAGGAGAGAGCAAGTGGGAGGGAAAAGGAGAGGGTGAGGGGGACAAAAAAGGGGAGAGAGATGTTGAGAGGGGGGGAGGGGAAGAAGCTTAGACGGGCTGACACAGAGAGCACAGGGCTGCTCTGTGTGTATGTGTCTATGTGTGTGTGTGTGTGTGTGTGTGTGTGTGCGTGCGTGTGTGTATGAGTAGGTGTGTGTGTATTTGTGTGTATTTGTCTTCGCATTTGTAAACAAGCATTCATCTACCTAGGCTTTACATGCCGTGGTTCACATGCTGGAGGTAATCCACATATGATGTTAGCCGACATACCAGAGAAGAATTACATGACTTTTTGGGGACAAGGAAAGAAATAATTAAAACAGCAGTATTTTCTGTATTTTCAGTATCTAGAGTGTCAAACTGCATTTATAAGAAAGTACTAAAATTAAGCAATGCTTTGGAGACAACATAATATGATCAGTGCAGCAAGGAATGAATGAATGTTGAATGTTTTCACTGTTAATTAATCCATCTATCATTTTGTCAGTTAATCATTACAAATCAAAAAAACAAAACCAAAAGGGATTTTTTTAAGTATTTGACTAATTTTAGCTTTAACACATCTACCGTAATACTTATTTAAAATTTCAGTGCAAGCCTGTCATGACGTACACACATCAGCACATGTTTTATATTTTATACTCTAAATGATAAAGTGCATAAAATAATCTGCCGACTTGTCAACAGTAATAATAAATGGCAGTTCTCATTGTATTTAACCAGCCCAGAGTGTCAAACAGGTGTTTTAGTGTCTCAGATACTGTGAAATTAAAAATCTATTTTTAAATTACAGTTAATCTAATGACAATTTAGCATTTTTTTTATATTACAATTCAATTTACAGGTTGTCTGCAAATACTGTGAGAGGTAGACAGAGGGCGGAATGAATGAAAAATTAAAATGAAAGTTATGAGAATTTAATATGATGTCAGAGAGAGGTCCAAACAGAGGAGAAGGAAGCCAGGTCATGGGAAGTCAAGAAAGAAATGTGCCTGAAAAACTGGTCACCTTGCTTAGGTAGCTCTGTCTCTATGCTGTCTTTACACATAACTACATTTGTGACAGGATTACAAGCTTTTATTTATGAAATACCGATATTAGTCACTGCATACTGCTTTGTTTTCCAAGGACAGCAGTCACTTTGGCAAACAGAGCCCTGGACAGTAGACTGAACCTAAAGAAAATGACATATTCTGCCCTATTGTGGCAAACAGCTTTCACAGCTTTCTTCAATAGGAAGATCATGATTACTGGCAATGTTTGCATTGCTTTTAAGCTACAGACATATTTCATTCAAGGGAATAAAGACGGGTGAGTGGGTGAGGGTTACTAACCCTTCACTGGTGGTGTCTTCCTCACTGAGCTGCTTTCTCCTCTCCTGCTGACTGCAGCACACTTCCTGAAAAGCCTTTTGGTCTGATAAAACAGAGAAATGGGCAAGAGAAGTGAAAAAGGTGCCACAACTTTACCCTCTGCTGAGACACTGTGGCCGGGATTCAACAGGGATAGCTCACATCCAGCATCAGAGTGGAAAACCTCAGTGTCAACATTGTTTAACCATCACTTTTACACATATATGAACCATACCGTGCGATTAAAATATAAATGGAGAATATTACCGTTAGTGTTCGAGTTACTTTGGTTTAAGGGCAGGGATAAGCAGGAATTTGCAGCTGTTGGTGAGGTTAATTCAGGCTACGGTATCATCATCCTTTCCAAATGAGGGCAGTCTCCCTCCCTCCCTCCCTCCTCAGCATCCTTTCTTTTGCTGCTTCACCGCATTAGCTGCCATCGGCTAAACGGGGACTAAACTCCATCCCAAACCTGACCACCTGGCCGTCTGCTTAGCAGGGTATATGAAAAGTAAGACACTGGTTATTACTGGATGTTATGAGAGCTGTATATATGGGTAGCTGTCAGAGGCGTTACGTCTTGCCTGCCACCAGTTACAGTTACTTTAGCTAGCTAGCTAGTGGCTAACGTTAGCAAAAAATGTCACAGCTCTACTCCGACTGTTCCAACGGCGCATTTGGCTCCCGAGGTCACTCTGAGAGCATTTAAAATTCAATTTTAAACTCACCTTTGTTTCCAATTTGCCTTTTAGATGCCCAGTGTCACGGTGAAAGATGTCAACCAGCAGGAGTTTGTCAGGGCTCTCTCAGCTTTCCTCAAAAAGTAAGTAAAGCTGAAAAACCAGCCTTACAGCTGCATGACTGGTTGGTATCCACCTGTCAATCACTCAGGCTGACGGTGAATGTAAGTAAAGGGCAAAAATAAAGAGTTGACTTTAATGTGATGAGAAAATTCATTGCATTTTAATTTAAAATTGGAGTTTCTTTATTAACGATTGAAAGATAAACTTTTTGATGAAAAGTAATTTTTTTTTTAAAAGTTACCTTGTGAAATAAAAAAGTGAAAAGCAGCAGAGTTAAATTTTATTTCATGAGCATATTGACCACAGCTTTAAAAATCCCATGGTTTACATATATCTTTCTGTATTTATTCATGTCATTATTGATTCCAGAATCACTTATTTTAAATTTTAAACGTGTGGGATCTCTTTCTACTCATACTGCCTCATTCAATCTTCAGTCTCATCTCACCTAAATTACATAATAAATAAGCCTAAATGTTGATATTTCAGGAAAAAAAACATTAATAAATATGTAAATAAAATACATACAGTATGTGTTGAATAAATCCTGTCTTCCTGTGCCATATGTTGTTTGAGCTAATGGCCCGTCAGTTGATTCATCACATCAACTGATAATTGATTTTTCAGGTCTGGCAAACTGAAGGTCCCAGAGTGGGTTGACACAGTGAAGCTTGCCAGGCACAAGGAGCTGGCACCCTGTGATGACAACTGGTTTTACACCAGAGCAGGTTGGTCACACTGAAAGTGTTTCATCAGTTCATCTGCAGCAGCTGTAACAAAGCTAAAATGCCAAAAATCTGTATATTCCAGCTTCTTTAATATTAGGATTTGCAGCTTTTCTTTATCTGTCCCTGTGGGATTTTGTTTACTGTTGAATTGCAACATCTTGGGTTCTGGGCATGTGTCCATGTTTCCTTGCATTTTAAAGACAAAACATTTTACCAAAAAATGAGTGAAATTAAATGTTTTTCAGCATTTCCTTCCTTCCTCCCTCACACCCATATAGATATTTTTAAGATCAACCTGTTTATATAAAGATTAGTTTTGGGAAACCCCACTGATCATGTGATTTTACACTAAATAAAACAACTCTGTGTCTTGATATGTACATCAAATGTGATTTCACCAACATCAAATGAGTGAAATACATGTAAAATTATTTACATTTTCCTAGACACCCCTGTGATCATCACAAGGACTCCTGCTGGTCTCTGGACCCTATTTCAGGAACCCATGTGATAAATGATAATACTCCTTGTGTAATATTGGCCCGTCCTATGAGGTTTTCCACAACTGGTACAGTATATACTGTAAAAGCATATGCACACAATCCTCCCTCAGCTGCTGTGTATGTTATCTCCTCAGGTTTATTGACCTAACAATAGCATAAGAAGAATTTCACACATTTGATAAGTTGGAATGTTTGATTTCATGTCTTTTGGGTGAACAAGTCAAGAGCGTTTCAGATGATAAAACAGGGACATATTGCAAAGTAAAGTATATACTGTTTGTACATTTCACCAGCATCCACAGCCCGTCACCTGTACCTTCGCGGAGGGGTGGGCGTGGGCTCCATGATCAAGATCTACGGAGGGCGTCAGAGGAACGGTGTTTGCCCTGCCCACTTCAGCGTGGGCTCCAGGAATGTGGCCAGGAAGGTCCTCCAGGCTCTGGAGGGCCTCAAGATGGTAGAGAAGGACCCCAGTGGGTAAGAGAGGTGGATGCTGGGTATGAGACTGTAAAGTGGTGACCTGAAGAGGTAATGGATGATTTTTTCATTAACATTTGCTTACAGTGGACGGAGACTTACTCCTCAGGGTCAGAGAGATCTTGATAGGATCGCAGGTCAGGTGAGTTGTTACTGCGGCAACTGCAGTTTATATGTATGTATATGCATGAGCCAATAGGACATTTTATTGTTATCCTGTCCTACGTGATCTCTGTATATATTATTTCAGTAATTATTTAAATGAAAGTGAATTATGATCATACTTTAAATAGCAGCCAAACACTCAGTTTTAGTTTACATGCATTCATAAAATGTGTTCAAATCCAGATTGCAACCCCTTTGTGCATCATGGGTAAGGTTACATTTAATTTTTTTCTGGTCTAGAAGACAGAATTTATATGATTTTGTCTAGAAAAAAAGAAGTATAATTTTAGTGAATTGATAGTATTATAAAGTAACTATACAAATAATTTACTGACTCAAAAAAGTAGATATAGTTTTAAATTACTCTTAAATTACTTGTCATAATGTTTAACTGAAAATATTTATTTTAAAACACATTTTAAACAAAACGGTAAGAATACTTTGCCACCATGTCCGCTCCTCAAATGAGTGGCTCCCTCTTGTGTTCTGTGTCAGTTATTGCCATAATGACAATGATTAAACTAAAACTGCTTTAATGTTTGTATTTATGTAACTAAGTTACATGTTTACATTCATGCCATCCCTAAATATTTTTTATGACCAGTGCACATGCTTTCCTGTTTGATATGGCGGCATGACTATCCTTCCTGCTCTCTCACTCTTTATCTCTGTATGTTTAGGTTGCCTCAGCAAACAAGAAACAGCGAAGTTTACAAAGCGCCATCTGAGGAATGCATGCAAAGAATCCAGACGAGTGAAATGCAGTTATGCCTTACTGCTTATTTACTCAAGTTCGCTTGTTTCCCTTATCACTCCAGTGCCCACATTACAAAAGGCACTTCATAGAGATGTGTCTATAGTATGCATGTGTCTATAGTACTGTAAGAACAAATTAAATATTATACATGGATGTTTGGCAACAGTTTTAGGTTTCTTTGTCGTTTGAAATTCATTATGAATTTCATGACAGCTGTGGTGTTGCGACACCAAAACACAGAATGGGCACAGGAAGAATGCAGTATTTCTAAGCAAAAGCATTTTAATGTTGTTTTGACAACAACTGTGAAACTCAATGTAAAAAAGAAAGAAATGGATGTTAATGTATATTTTTATTAATTTATTCAATTCTTTGTCTTCAGTGTTGGTTACAGAATGTTATGCTCAAACATTTTATTTATGAGATGTATATGAATGACATGATAATACATAAGGTGTTCTGATTAAACTGAGTCTGAATACTGAATATGGTGTTGTAGTGTTAGCTTGCATGTGGATGTATGGGTGACTGTGTGTCTTTAGTTGTTTCGCATAACAGTGCTGATCCAGCTGTTGTAGCGGCACACACGGGCATAGACACTGGGGTGTCCCTGCATGGCACAGTCATACCCCCAGGACACGACTCCCTGCAGCTGACCATTACACACCAGAGGACCACCGGAGTCTCCCTGCAAACACAGGCAGAGGAAGAACAGGGGTTTAAATGTTACTGTGAGTGCTCAGTTAATACATAGCACGTTCTGTAACTCGAGAACAATAGAGTAACATAACACCAGGCTGAAAAGAAGTGTTTTGCTGCCCTCTCTGGTCGAGAGTCTCAAGCCTGTTTCACCTTTGGGTGTGGTCAGAAGTGTGCTTTGTTGCAACTGTAACCACCCAAGAGAGTTTTCACGGGGTCCTGGTCTACACATGTGCATCACAGCAGCAAGGTGACAAGTTAAACCTCTACAGGTCAGCGAAAACAAGATTTTAAGGTGGTGTTAAATTACTCTTTAAGATCCAACAAAGTACATTCACAGAATTAACTTGTCAATCCTCAAAACCAGGAGGGTCTGTGTTGGATTTTCTTTCACAGCATGAGTAAAAAATAAGAATATTGCACTATAGTAAATTTTATGGGAACAGTTTATAGATAAAATAATCAGAAGGACATGACTGTTGTCATTAAATACCCAACAAATAAAGTCATCACGTAGATTCAAAGTTCCTGTGAATCCAGTGCTGCCATAAAGCTGTTGTGTACACTGATTTGCAACATTGCCAACAATGACCCAATACAACCAAAGATATTAAACTGATAGCTAACAGCCATACTCAGCCAATAATATATCAATATCAACAATGTATTATGATAAAAACCACTACGTCGGCAGATATTAGCCACATAATGTAATACTGGTGTAGGTGGTTGTGAATTGGATATTCAAAGTCAATTACTCATAGAAATAAAATGTCTTACTGTTTCATATTAATGTACCGTTTAATGATTATAGTGTTACACACTGAGTATCCTCCCATATATGCTTTTATATGATCCTTCCACTTTATTTCAATTACACTGATCATAAAGCATTAAATAAACTAGAAGAGGAAACATGATCAGAGGGTAAATGTGTCTCTTGCAATACTGTTGCATCTTCTTCCTGCATTCACAGCAGTGGCAGTGGTGTAGGGGTAATTCAAAAAGTGGGTATCAGAGTAGATATATGCATAATTTGCATTTAAGAAAGAAGCATAACCAAGGCTCAGTGAAAAATAAGGGCCGTACTGTGTACTTTTGTGCGCTTAGTACCACACCCCTGAGTCACAGACTGCTTGCACTGCAGGAAGGTGATGCACCGTCATCTACCACCTGACTCCCTGCGTGTTCACTGTGGTTTAGTCCAACTCACTTGGCAGCTGCTGGCGCCTCCGTGCATAAATCCGGAGCAAACCATGTTCTCGGTGAAGAGGTGGGGGTAGGCGTTCCTGCAGATCCTGTCATCGATGATGGGCTGCCTCAGGCACTGCAGCCTGTCGGGGAAGTTGCCTGGGGAGCAGGAAGGCAAGTCTCAGTTTCTGGATCAACTAGTATGTAAATACTATAATTTCCTCTGTATCACATGGATATTATGAGATATCAAGTATGATATGAGTAATGTTGTGATGAGTTGATTAACTAATTTGTAGATGAAAAGTTTATTTACTCCCACTTTGGTAATTAATCCTTAATTTATCAGGAACAAATGCCAAATGTTTGGTGGTTGCCAGTTTGTGAAGATTTGCAGCTTTCCTCTTTTTTTCAAATGGTTGTAAACTACAAACACTTGGTTTTGGGACCGCTGGTCGAACAAAATGCAATATAAAGATGTCACATTGGGTTCTGGGAAATTGATTTTCTGACATTTTATGGACTAAACAATTACTTGATTAATCAGTAACACTGACACTAAAAAATAAATAACAATCTGTAGCAGCTCTAATTTGTTGCAGGCCTAAACTATGAGACATAGAGATGCATGTCAGCGTGCACGGCTGTATGGGCTGTATGAATTAAATGTACTTTTTCTATGTTAAAGAGGTACCCCAGCTATTTAGTATTAAACCTGGCTTGAACCTGGCTAGTTATAGCAGTACATTCCTTTGATTAATAAGGCTTGTCTTTTATGATCAGAACTCATTCAGACCCACACAATGACATGGTTAGGCTCTTCCAGCTGCTGTCTATCAGTTGTTTTCTTTACCTCAGTGCAGAATGAATCACAACCTACATCATCATTTTTGACCACATTTACAACCTCAACCACCCCACTTCTTTGTGTCTGAGCTTTCAGACTCAACTTACTGCCGTTGGCGGACATGTTTCCCCACCCGGACACCAGGCAGTTTTCGTCGGCCACGGGGCAGCGAGTGGGCAGGGCCACAGTCTGGACGTAGCTGTTGAGGGTGGCGGGGCGGCTCAGTTTGATCAGCATGATGTCGTTGTCCAGGTTGTGGCTGTTGTACTGTGGGTGCTTGATCATCTTGGCGCCATCAATCCACTGCTCGGTGCCCTCATTCACAGCGATGTTGTGCTCACCAAGACGGACCTGGATACGACTGGTGGAGGCAATGAAAGTTAAGTTAGTTTTCCTAACAATGATTTCTGCATCATTTTGATCATCATGAGCCTATGGAACATTTTCTCTGAGTGTTTTCATTTTCAAAGCAACATCTATCAATAGTTTCCTAACATTAGCCACCATAAGCTGCTGGTCATACCAGACCAAGTAAGGCTGAAACAGCCAAACCTGTGAGTGCATTGAATTGAGCAAGGATGTGTTTTATTTTTCATAAATTCAATTTAAAATTGGTAACAAAAAGTTTGTGTTATTTCATCTTCCAAAGATCTCACATTAGTCGTGCTTTAAATATAGCACAAATTAATCTACACTTGTTTTACCTTGGAAATTAGCACAAGCAGTTGGGAGATTTTTAAAGAGCCTTTTTATGCTGTATTTTAAATCATGCAACAGTGTCTTAGGTCTGTAAGTACAGTATGCATTACAAGTCATTGGGCAAACTACACTTAGCTGCAAACCAATAAAACCCTGGTATTAATGCATTATCAAAAATGATCCCAGTGCTTTGCTATGATTAAATTCAAAGTCGCCGTCCTTTCAAAAGTGTGTTAAGCATGTGCAGAGTTTGCTCTTTTCACATTAATCTGCTGAAAGGGGAAAATTTTTCTGGGCTCAACTTAAATCCCAGTTTAAAACGTGTTGGTGCATCACAACTAGTTTAGGAGCCAATGCAACTTAAACAAATGTGATGAGGAAACTCCCAGTGCACTTACACTGGGAACAGACTTTTCATTGAAGTTGTTAAACTTTTCAAATGAAACATATTCAGAGGCAGAGTATTTTTGTATGTCTTAAACGTGTCTGGAGGTGGTCTTTGATGTATATTTTGGACTAATTCCTCAGTAAAGCATGCAAGGTCATGCAGAATGTCATTTCCTGCACTTACGACTTGTAGCAGTGAGCAGCGGACACCACCCACTGGCTGGAGATGAGGGATCCACCGCAGAAGTGGTATCCGGCGTTCAGAGACACCTGGTAGGGGACAGAGTGTTTGGGACACTCATACCCTCCAACAATCTTATCATCCTCAGCTGCAGCAACTGAAACAGCAAAAAAATGTATAATATGACATATGGAAAAACCCCTAGGAACACTCAAAAAAACAAAAACAAAAAAATCTCCAGAAAATATAACAGAGTGGTACTTGAATAAACTTTTATAGTAATGAAACAAGTGCATTAGAATAACTTTACCACATTCATATTTCAAAAACAGAAAAGAAGAATAAAATTTGTTAGTCTCTTACACGCTGCTCCAAGCAGAGCAAGGAATACCAGGGCCTTCATGGTCGTTGAATGTAAGAGAAAGCCCACACTGAAACTCCTTTTATACACCTGTCCAGCATTTTACATTCCCAACTTTCTCAAGGTCAGGAAAGTAAAAGGCAAAACTGTTCTGGGAAGGAGCCATATGGCTGAAAGCAACAGCAAGACCTTGGGATAAAAACCACCAGGTCACTTAAGGGAATTTCTGATTTAAGTGTTCAACTGATAGTTATGCAACCAGCAATTATGTAATTTCAACGATGATACATATATACATATATACATACGTACATACACACACACACACACACACACACACACACACACACACACACTGTGGAACTTAACATCAAAAACATCTTTACTGTCAGTTTTAGACTCAGTCATAAAACAGATGTTGCATCTCCTATAGCGTGTTTATTTGTCCAGAAATACAGTAGCGTACTTCAGCTGTGGTAATGCCTGATAGCAGTTCACCATTTGCAGGAGTCACTATTCTGTGTCTTCCTAATCCACAGAAAACCTGATAAGACTGTTGCAAAACTGCAGCAGCAACACAGGAGAAAATGCAGCGTAAGAGAAAGATGACTGTGTCCCCCAACCTGAGGTTCAGGACCCCCTCAACGGGACATAAGATAAATCTCAGGGACATATGCAGCCTGTGATGAGTAAGCATTGCTCAGATATAAAAGGTAACAAGGGTGGTCACAAAGGGTGGAAATGAAGGTTGTATATGTATTAAGCATCATTAAGTTAAACTGTTTGTGCCCCTCTTATACAAACCAGTGTTAAAATGTGAGGTTGCATGTTTTTGAGTTGAAC